AATGACTTGTGGGAACCAACCATCCGTGGAGAGGACGCCCAAGGCGAGAAGGAATATATGGCCCACATCAAGAAGTATTACGGAATGGATCCATCCTATGCGAAGCCAATTGTCCATTTCATCCTTTGGAGAGTGGAGAGATTAGCAGGTTGTTTTCCGAATGTCTTCGAGACAATCCCCGAGAAGGACGAGAAATGAAAAGGGCAATCCGGATCAACCTTGATGGATCATGCGAACTCTATGAGGCCTTGTGCACGATCGCCCACGCGAGAAATTTCCTTGGCAACAAACCAGGCGTATTCCTGATGACTATGCTTCCACTCTTTGGAAAATCCGGATACGAGATAGCATTCGTATATCCAAAGTTTGATGGAACACACAAGGAACGAGAGCAAAGAATGAGATTGTCCCGAGAGACCGATGGATTGACAGCATCACATCCAAAGCCGCATTCCATGCACTCAGGCCTGATGGCAAGGCATTCTTTAACGACAATGGCATGGAGCTCTATGTGAGATGCAACAGTGGTCATGCACGGTATGTTGAATTGGATACCATTGGAAGACCCTTGTGGAAGCATCAGGACACTTGGGAAGAGCCATCCTACGATTTGCCCAATTCATCCAAGCATCGTGATCAAGACCATGAAGATGAGAGCGCGGCGAATCCGAAATCCATCGAAGGCCGTCACGTTCATGTTCCATGCTACCTATGAAAGTCAGAGAGAGAGCATCATGTAGCAAGGTGTCAGGCCAGGAAGAACTCACACCCCTCGGGGAAGACAACATGTTCACATGGCATGCATCGACGACATCGTCTACGATGACGAGGAATCAGGCGCAGCGCTGACCCATGTCCCCAAAGGACGCGATGCTTTGTTGATCCTTGCTTTTACACGAGACAATCATTGCAACGCCCGAATCACTGAAGAACGAACCGCTTTGTCAGAACAAACCATCGAACCATGCAGCATAATCCTAGCATTCGATACCGATGGACAGCCCCTGCAGAGCAGCTACTGGGTCATGAAAAAGAACCTCGACCAAGATGACCGAGAGCAATGCGAATCCAAGATCCAGGAGTTTGCAGAGCGCTTCTTTGAGCGCATTGACAAGGGCATTTTCCACGACAAGCGCAACAAGTACCAATCTGAACAAGAACAATCCAGCGAGACCAGGAAAAGACGACGCTCGACAGATCAAGATGAAGAAAGCATGAGCACAAAGGCAGATCGATCCGTCAAGACCAAGGTCATCGATGAACCTCCTCATCCGGCCAATTTGACGGAATTCAATCGGGAGTTTCAGGACATCTATTTGGACCGAGATATGACCAACAGCAGAGTTCATCGACATTCAGCAATCATTCACGGCATTCATGGAGAGGTGCACCGAAGATCCAAGGAAGGTATATCCAGGCCTGACTGATTGCGAATTGAGATCTTTGGCACACGTGAACCCAGATGAGAACATCGAGGACGAAGAGTTCTATTTCGAGCACGCGAGTACACATCCGACCAGGGAAGAGTTCAGAGCAGCACAGGACCCTTCGGGGTATCCACTCAGACTTCCAACCGGACAAGAAGTTGAAGTACCACGATGAACCTGATCTCATCAAATCATTCACGGACATCCTGGGATCTTTGATGCAAGGAACTGATGGCCCCATTGTTGACCACCTCAAGAGAAAAGATTATCCATCCACCATTTCACTCTGGCGCAGAACAGTGCAAACATCCTTTGCATCAATGAGGCAGATCCGTTCTACTGCCCGACTGATGAAAGACCATCAACCTCATCAAACTGTTCATAAAATGCAGATACAAGGGCATCGTTCTCAAGCTATGGTCATCCAAATCCATCGCGTGCCTTGTCCGAGGCGGTAAGCGATACTATTCAACCAAGAGCCAATGTTGGAGTACTACATTCGGCGTGTTCAGATGCTTCTTCGGACTCGAGGAAGGTTGCATTGATCCGGACTACGATACTCCACATCTGACTGCCTGGCATCCACCGGAACACCCATGTACGACAACAATGAGAAGTGCGTTGGAAAGAGGTTGCCACCGCGCACAGCCGTTCAATGGCGTGGCAAGAACTGTGAGATTGTCGTCATCCATATCGAGCAGAACAATGAGACCCGTGGAGCATTTCCGAGACCCACCGAAGATCCTGTTCTATCCTACGACACACGCCATGTTACCCGAGCTGATCTTCCATTTGCCACCATCGGAGTATTCCATACCCATCCGAACATCAGCCACGGTGCAGCAAGAGAAGACATGCAGAAAGGTATCATGCCGCTCGTCACGGAATACCAATGCGATATGATCACAGGTGATGCCAACAAATCCGCGAACACGCTCAGCAAGCTGCAATCCGTCTACAATCCTGAAAACGGCCTCATGCACCACATCATGGAGAATTTCAAGAGAACTTGGAATGAGACACAAGATATGCCGCTAGCAAACCAGTTTTTTCCATGTCTACTTCATGCGCAATCAAACCCATGGCTCGCCATCATCTTCATACGAAGACAGGTTCAGGATACGACCGGACGTTTCCAGATTGTGTGATGACTTTCGTATTCAGTTGGGGAAAGACCAACATCCAACAAGAATTTCGTCGTTCCGAGATTGCCAGACTCCATCCAGAGACGCTGGAACCCATGACAGACCATTTTGACAAGGCCATTTCCGACTACAGGGTCACATCCGCCGAGCACTACAAGCCATCAACAATGAAATGCTAATGCTTGGAAAATGCGATTCAGATTCTCACATCCCATTGCTGGTCTATGTCCGCAGCCTCGCAGCTGATCAGGAAAGAAATCTCAACCGCAAGAAGGAGTTCATCCAGAACAAGAAGAAGGAGAAGGAGACCGCATGGAAGCCAGGGGACCAATCCTACAAGCAAGGATGGAAGCACTCTGGCTATCAGGGATGGAAAGATTAGGAAGCCAATCCGACAGCAGCTATCGTTGGTACCCGCAGAAATGATGAGATACTATGATTGCAATGAGAAGCTATCAGAATCCACGCTGAGAGCATTCACACGGAACCGGCGCTACGAATTCCAATCAATTGACCCTCCTGCACATCAAGAATATACCAGTGAGTGATCAATAGTTTCACACCATCCCGCGTGTACAAAGTGTCTTGCACATTTCCGTTTTAGATACAACTAGGTATCTCATCCACCCAGTACAAAGCATTTTCCATTTTGCCAACAAGACAGTTCAGCCGCGCAAGAAACAGGATGATTCAGTTGAAATATGGCTACGGCAAGCGCGCCATATCCAATGGCTACGGCTAAAGGCCATGAAGCCAAGAATACCATTTTGGTGTTCAGGGTCAAAGGAAATTCCCTTCTGGGATAACTTCGGCGTGGGTCTCACACCCCCCGGGTGGCAGGGAATAATACGCACAATGTGACTCAGCATTCCTTTTGCCTTGGTCAGCTGCACTTATTCTAGCAGATGATGATAGTAAGAGAAATAGATATAAGAAAGCAATATTCACACTTGCCATAATTACTTCTAGAATTTGGACATGATGTGTATGCGTTCATTCGTTTTACTTTGCGATGAAGAAGCACACATGGGAGATAACAGATTAGATACAAGACAATATTCAATAGTAGATGATGATAGGAAGAGAAACCAGAATAAGAAAGCACGATAGACGTCGAATAGATAGAAAGTGGACCCTTCTAGGTTGTCTCAACATAGGACCACCAAACATGCTGGTGCTTGTTTCTCTTAAAATACTAACCCCAAAAACAGAACCCAAGACAGGCCAGACTCTTCTCTTGGAGGCAAGATATCTTCAGAGGACACCAATTGAAGCTTCGCCCTCTTGATTCCTTATGCCCCTAATTGCTCTCTCTGAAAACTGGGCTTCTCTTTGGTTGCCCTTCAAAGCAAATGCAAGAAACAATATGACCAGGTCCAATGGATGATCACACAGTCACACACCTAGAGCAATAAATGACATGTAGAAAATTTAGTATTAATACATAGTAGAGCAATAATGATGTTAATTGGAGATATGAAAGAGGATGAAAGAGAGACTCCACTTATCCCTTCCATCCCTTTACATTCCAAGCTAGGGGTGCGCAAGGCTATCTGGGGAAGAGCTCGGATGATGATGATGATGATGATGATGAATATGATGATGAAAATGCTGGTGAACATGGTGATCATCATTATCATCATCATCATGTTCATCATTATCTTCACCATCATTCTCATTATCATCTTCGTCATCATTATCATCAGCATCATCATTCTGATCATCATTCTGATCAGCATCACTTTCATCATCATTTTCCTCATCATCATGTTCATCATCATTTTTTGAAACCATTGTTGGTTGGTATATAGAGAGGAATCACCATTCCACACAAACCTAGACGGTCTCGGTGATCTCGGACCTACCCACCAAGTGAAAATGTGTGGGAATGATGCCCCCACCCGCTTGCCCTCAGGGCGATGATTTTATCATCAAATCAATTGAAGTAAGTGAAGCACAAAAACAAACAAACACAATAGTAATAATCATAGTCATAATAATACTAATAGTAATGACAATAAGAATAAAAATAAACATGGACGCACATGATTCATCCAGGAAGGGAGGTTCCAGGGGTCCAGCCGGAACCATAAGACTGAGGAAAGACTACAAGAAAACCACAAGTCAATAATTAAAATAATTGGAACAAATGAACAATCCGCAGTCTTAATTTGTTCATGTTTTTCAATTAATTGAAATGATTGACAAACTTGAAAGCATGAATTAAATGAACAATTCAAGGGGGGGAGGTCCCAGGGGTCCATTCTGGACCACAAGACTCAGGAAAGACTGAATATTTCCGGTCAACAATTGACACCGTTGCAAAAGAAAACAACAAGACTTTGGAAGACTGGCAAACCCGCCCGGTCATATATTTCTCTCTTCCCCCCCCCCTTCCACTGTTGCACCCATTCGCATCCGGCACAAGGCGAAGCCGCGCAGTGCGCAAGAGGCTCGATCGCCGAAGGCCACTTGGCTTCCAGGACCAATATTGAGAGGCTCGCTGATTACAGGGCTCCGACCCGCCCGATGCGACTCCTGGGTCACCCAAATATTCTTGCCAAACTTCCACACCTTAGATCATTCCCAGATTGCCCATGCTGACTGCGCAAGGCTCTGACACCTCCCTCGCCGAAGGCGGAGTGTGCAAATTGAGCGTGGCTCCTTCCCTCTTTGCTAGGCTATGGGGAGGCAGGCTGCGAGCGACTGGATGTTGCCGGATGTGATCAGCCCAGGAGGGAAGCCGGACAGTCATTCCCTTTCAAGATCCAATTGTGTTTGGGAGGGATGTAGGTGTTCCCAAAAGCCAACCAAAAGGGTTCCCAATTCCAGGACTTACCCCAGATCAGTGACATTATATATATATATACATACACAGCTGTATATACATATACACATATATATATATATATGTATACACATATGTATATATATACACACACGTACATACACCACATGAGATATTTTGTTCCCTTCTGGAAGAATGCAAAGGGATGAAGCAGAATGCACAGCAGGCGCCGATCCTCGCAGTCCCTGGTGCCTCACGAGCTGCAGAAGCTGCAGGAAGGCAGGGGGAAGCTGAAGCTTAAGGCAGTGAGTCTTTTTTGTTTAAAGCAGATTGTCACACACTCGAAGCTTCATTTTTTTAAACGATCTAAGGCATGGAGCCTGACAGGGGTCCCTCCAAGAGGAGTTTGATCTTCCAGGTAACCTTCCACAGGTGCCATGGTTGTCTAGAGTCTAGAAGGGTAGCCTTTTTGGATATGAGGTTGTAACACAGGAAGTTGTTTCGCAGATGTGATTTGCATTTTCTATGGAGCCCACCCGTTTCTTGTATCTAGTGCGCGTGTCAGGCGCCGACTTCGAGGCAGCGAAGGTGCGGCGTGCGGTGGCCGCGGCGGCCAAGCGTGTGAAGGCCGTGCAGGCAGTCTCCGACGGGTCCGTATCTCCTTACCTGCTTGAACTGCTTGGACTCTGCTTGATGTTCATATGACCCGCACACAGAGGCCAAGAGCAAAGCCGAGCCCCCGCCAAAGAAGAAGGTCACCTCGAGGCGGGCACCGGGGTCGCATGGCTTCACTGAGCCAAGATTTGGTTCTGAGGTCAGAGCTGCTAGCGTGCCTGTTCAATGCCTTGGGTGGCTACGAGACCAGCTACCTCAGTGGCTTCGAAAAAACATGACCTGTTTCCAAGAATAGCGCAGCCCCCTAAATTAACTAAAGGTGGCTAGTTCTCCGATTGGTTTGCATGCAGGCACTATCCACAACGGGTCCAAAAGGGGCCCCCCAATTTTGGGACAGCTCCTTCTCCCAAATGGTTGCGCATCAGCTGAAAACAAGCACTTGGGATCCATAGGGAGACGGATCCCGCAATTGACCAGATTTAGTGGCAGTACTCAAATGACTCAACGGTATTTGACAACCTTGCCTAGGGTTCCTTCTTATAATAAGCATGACCCTGGCCCACATGCTGGACATGTTGACAACTCTGAGGCAGCAGCCAGCTTCTTCGCATGGCTTTGTTGCTGGGCTTCGAGGGTGGCCAGAGGGAGTGGCAGAGGGAGTACCTGGTGCTCTGCCGCTCGTACAACTGGACTCTTGGCGTGGAGAACCAGTCGCATGCGCCCGCCACATGTAACATGCAGGGAGGGCGCCTTTGCACTTGGGCTTGCATCCAGTTCTCAACCGAGGAACCCGAAGAGGGGAGCCAACCGCCAGCACCCAAGGTTGTTGGCTCGTCCACATGCTCCTGAATGCGTCTCCAGAACGTGTGTGCATGTCACAAGCGCTCTAGTCAGGCCGGCAGTTCGCCGCTTTGCTGGATGATGACGATAGCCACTTGCCTTTGGAATTTTGAGGGTGGGCTGCTTTCTTGCAGCGCTTGATTGCAGCCCTGGGACGTCTCACGCCTTGGCGGGAAGAGATGCACAGGAGTGCAACTCAAAAGGATGTCAAAGGCAAATGCTGCATAGGCCTATGCTACTGGTATCTAGATCGACCCCAGCTTTTTCTTTGGGAACCATTCCTCCGGATCTGTTTGGATGCGTTATAGGCAAACCCGGCCACGAGGCGATGCTTACAGCAACGACATCGAGGTGGCGACCATGCTCTGCAACCTCCAGGCCAAGCAACCGCAGCAGGTGCCGCGGGAGCAGATGGTGAAGGAGCCGCTTGAGTTGGTCTTGAGCAAAACGGGTTTTGAACGGGAAGCTGGAGGGTTCCCTATAGGTTTGAAAATCCATGGAGCTTGGCCCTTGGGCTCCTTTCGAGCCGCTTGCCTTCTGCGCCGTTTCGGCCAGCTGGCAGTATGGTTGATCGAGCTCCTGTGTTGCTATGTTCAGGATACACTTCGCAAGTGCATAGACCGCCAGGAGTTCTTCAACTGGGTGGACCTCAGTCGCAGCCAAAGGCCGGTGCCGCATGTCGCGTAGCGCTTGTAGCGCATGTGGCGCTAGCTTTGCGCTCGCGTCGAGGCTGGGGAGCCGAGAGCTCCTCCGCTTCGCCAAGCATGTGGGCTTCGAAGGTGACAAGGCAGCCTGGGAGAAGGCGCATTCGGCCAACGTTGCAAGGTTTGTCCGTTTACCCCGGCTTGTTGGATGCCATATTTGTTATTCATTTTGCTTGTCGGAATCCATTGCGTTCATTGGCAGCCGGCATGTGTTTTTTGTTCGGTTTGCGGCGTTTGGCTCGTGCAAGGAGTACAGCTTCATGGTTCGGCGGTACCACTGGCCACCTGCGGGCTGTGACCTTGCTCAGTTCTCGCGGATGCTGTCGGATCCGGAGGGCCTGTGCTACTGCGACAACGCGGCTCTGCAGGCGAGGAATGGGGAGACATGTGCAAAACCAGCTCCCACAGCTCCTTTGGACGGCCGTGAATACCCCAAGCAGGAGCCACCTTGCACAGTTACTGTTTTGTTTGAAGAGGTGGTACACTGAATGCTTTGAGCCTACCAATATTCCTTCACACATACCTGGTTGAGATTCTTGCCAAACCAAGATTGGGCGCCGCATTTGTTGTTCACATCTCTGTGTTTGTCAGTCTCTCTGTTTGTCTGTCTGCCTGCCTGTCTGTCTGCCTGCCTGCCTGTCTGCCTGGCTGGCTGGCTGTTTGTCTGTCTCTGTTTGTCTCTGTCAGTCTCTGTCAGTCTCTGTCTGTTTCTGTGTGCCTGTCTCTGTCTCTCTGTCTGTCTCTCTCTGTGTCTCTGCCTCTCTGTCTCTCTGTCTCTCTGTCTCTCGGTCTTTCTGCCTCTCTGTCTCTCTGTCTCGGTCTTTCTGTCTCTCTGTCTCTCGGTCTTTCTGTCTCTCGGTCTCTCTGTCTCTCAGTCTCTCGGTCTCTCTGTCTCTCAGTCTCTCGGTCTCTGTCTCTCTCTCTCTTTCTCGTTTTTTTTTTTTTTTTTTTCTCTCTCTCTCTCTCTCTCTCTCTGTTGGCTGACAAACTCGTCCGGACGACGGCTTGGAGACGAGGTGTTTGGCTGCGGGGTCGGATTCGGGCTAGGTGGAGCTGGCCGAGCTCGAGCTGGCCACCTCCCGGCCGTTCTTCTCCAAGCTGCTGGATCCGGGTGTGCAGAAGGCCGAGGCCCAGCTTCGGCTTAAAAGCCCGGGGCTCAAAGGGATGGCGAGTAATCGGGCTCCTTTTTGGAACATTTTGGTTTCAAACTCTGGACAAGGGCCAGAAGTGCCCGTGCCAGCCAAACAGTCATTGGGTAGAAAACAAGCTGCCATGAAAGCAACCTGCGCTCTGCCGTTTCTGAGCTGACCAAGGTGCCCGACTCATCCAGGAGCTGTGGCGGGGCCGCCTGCAGTCTCAGGCTTGGGGCATGTTGGAAACAAGCTGAAGGGACAGGTTTGGATGAATATTGGCATGTAATAGCAATTCTTGGGAGAAGGCTCATGGTTTGCCCAGCTGACGGCCAGCCACTTTAAAGGCGCCTAAAAGGTTTGGCCAGAAGACTCACCTCCTAAGCCCTCGCTGATTATCGACGTTTCCGGCCCAAAGCTCAAAACAGAAACAAACAACAACATGTTAAATTACCATGGCCATTGCCAATACTTTGGCCAGTACCAACTCCTGTCATAGTCTCAAAGGTTGCCATTTCAGAAATCACAAAAACGGCACCCGGAAACAGCACATTTATTTATGTACATTGCTTTGAACACAAGGTTTGACAAGCTCGTAAAGAGTACACCCCCCTTCAAGGCTGGCCCCCCGCCAAATAACACAAACCCCTCTGATCAATTAATCCGGACACTCTCCAGCCCTGGAAATAAAAATGAGATTTCCTTTGGCTTTCCTATTGCAGTCCTCTTTGCCAGACACGGGATCCAAGGGGCCAGGGGGACCCTCCAAAATCTGGCTTTCCAAAACCTTGTCGACCCGAAGGGGGGGGTATTAATGGTTTTCCCTATTGAAGGTCATTCTGTCATGGGGATTTGCAAGTGGGCATGGTGTGAGGGATCACCTGAGGGCATTCCACGGCTTGACAACATCGGCCACACTGGCACTCAGCATGTGATGTGTGAATGAAGCCTAGCCACAGACACTTAGCCTTGGAAGCGACAGCACAGCAATCGGGCTTTCTTAACTCGAACTGCGGGAAACATGGATCTGTGAGGTGCTGATGCGGGAGTTGAGGCGAAGACTGGCGGAGAAGAAGGACTCGCCCGGTATGTCCTTTCGAGTCCAGAGCAAGGAACAGCACCAATGCGTCGAAATGGAAGATGCTAACTGAAATGGAGAGGCAGTAGAGATGGAGAACAACAGGGGAGAGGCTGTTGAGGGTCACTGGACGTTTCCATGCGGGCACATTTGGCTCCCAGGAGCTGGAAGAGTTCCGAAAGGCTTGGGTGCCACGTATCCGCTGTTCAGCTCAGTGCTGCAGAAAAATATTCTTTATCTAGTTGTGGGTCATGAGATACTAGCAATGATCTGCTCAAGTTGTGCAATGCTTTGAAGTCTCTACTTGATGAAGCCAATCCACTCTGCTTTTGCCGTTTGCGAACGCTTCAGAGCTCTCTAGGTGGAAGCGAGTCAGAAAGCGCGCATGGTGAAGGCGGCCGTAGCTCGGCTTCAGCTTCCAAAAGGCGCTTCGGGGTTCGGAGTCCTGTTTTGCCTTGACTCAAGCTTGAGGCGACTGGCAAGTTTCGCAACTCGAGATTTGGCACACCAAAAACGGCAGCAACTTGAAGTGGTGCAAACCAGCCGCTCCGGCGTTCACCTTGCCTGGAGCAGTTTTGGCGGTCCAAGGCGCGCATATGGAGATGGTGGCGGCCGTATGCCAGGAAGCAGAAGTGGCACATGGCTGAGCCGGTGGAAATTGGGAGAAGATCTGGGACCCTGGAAGCCAACGTGGAATCAATCGCAACCATTATATCAGGGCTCCGAAGTTTTGGACACATCCGGCTTGCAATGCCCTGCCCCGTTTCAACCTTGAAGCTGGCAGTGCCTGACTTAGGATGAGAATCATCACTGCCACGAAGGCTGTTCGGGCTAGCAAAGGAAAGGCTGAATGAGAGCAATTCCGACTCCAACTGTTCTTGGCTTTCCTGCTTGGTGCGCAGTATTTGTGTGATGTGATAACTTCATGCCAGCTTTTTTTTCTTCAAAGGGGCAAAACAAAGCCCGCTTCAAGCGTGGCCCCCTGGCAGCAAGAGCGTTTCAGGGTTTGAGAGTCCGCTAATAGCCTCTGTACCTCCAGACCGCGGCTTGCAGGCGAGGCTGAGCCGGGAGTCCAGCTACAAGGAGGCAACCATTGGACAGATCGTGCATTGGACTCCTTGGACTTGATGCGACGGGCGCTTTTCCCAGGGCCTCCGGACTGCGCGCCTGGGGAAGATGAGCCGCCTTCAGGAGACCGCGCGAAGCTGTGTCTTCCTTGGCCACTAGGGGCGATTTCGCAAACCGCATGCCCAGAACTCAACAACAGGCAAGATCAGTGACTTTGGGCTTGCAACCGTGCTGAGGGCGATTCTGTCTTGCCGTTGGGAGAGCCACACTGGCCAACAGCGCACTGAGCTCCTGACACTTTGCAGGATGCAGAAGTTTGTCGAGATGAGGACGGATTCTCAGGGAGGCTCTCCAGGCGTGCCAGGCGAAAAAAAGGGAGCCATATCGAGAATGTTCGGGTTGCCCTGAGCCGGTCCTTCCAAAGGCAAGCCGCAGGCTCAGGTCTCGGATGCCAACAAAGTCGTGACCCTCTTGCCCTCTTGTGGGTGCTGGTTCTTGCTGTTCGAGCCTAAGAAACCAGAGGAACATTGCCCATGTTTGAGGTTCAACCCTCAGGAGGTCCCGCCCGCCAACAAACGAGTCCAGGACGGGCCGAAGCCTTTGTTGCGGGCTAGCCTGCTGCCACCGTCGGAGGCACAGAAGCGGAAGGCGACGGCTCCGACTCGCCGAGACCCGTCCATGAAATGGGCAAGGAAGCGCAAGGAAGGGCAAGGCCGATGTGAGGTGGCACAGGGCTCGCAAAAGTTCCAGGCAAGGAGATCGCCCCGCCCTCGCTCGGGAGGTGAAGTCTCAGCAGCAGCGGGCCAAGGAGATCCAGGAGAGTCGGCGCAAGGCCCAGCAGGTCCAGGAGAGGGCGAACTGTCTCTTGAAACATGCAGGGTGACAGATTGCAATGTGCCTTCGGTAGGGTCTTCCAGGCCAAGAATCAAACTTGCTGAGCCGAACGCCTGGAACATCTTTCACATAGCCACATAGCCATTCTTCATGACGATAGGCTCAGAGAAAGAACAAGGCCCTAAATCCTGCCAAGAGCTGCCTGATCTCCCGCGCAAATCGTCCGCCCCAGAGGCAGCCACCACCTGTCCAACAGCCAACCCCAAGTCCCACACAGCCCCGCTGCCCAAACACCTCTCCCGAACTCCAAGCCGCAATCACCCACCCACTACTTTCAAGTTGGCCTCCCTTGCGGCTTGCCTTGCTTGCGCCGCATGCTGGGGCGGCTGGAGGCCAAGTGCTCAGACTGGGAGGCGCTGCAACGCCAAGAGGAGCGGCTGCTGGACCCCTTGGAGTGGCGGAAGGGATGCGCGCCCCAGCGCCCCGAGGAGCGGTGTGGGTTTGGGATGACCTGTGGGTGATTTGGGATGGAACATCTTGCAAGGTGTTTGTTTGCTTGTGTGTGTCTGTGTGTGTGTGTGTGTGTGTGTGTGTGTGTGTGTGTGTGTGTGTGTGTGTGTGTGTGTGTTGTGTGTTTGTGTGTTTGTGTGTTTGTGTGTTTGTGTGTTTGTGTGTTTGTGTGTTTGTGTGTTTTGTGTGTTTGTGTGTTTGTGTGTTTGTGTGTTTGTGTGTTTGTGTGTTTGTGTGTTTGTGTGTTTGTGTGTTTGTGTGTTTGTGTGTTTGTGTGTTTGTGTGTTTGTGTGTGTTTGTGTGTTTGTGTGTTTGTGTGTTTGTGTGTTTGTGTGTTTGTGTGTTTGTGTGTTTGTGTGTTTGTGTGTTTGTGTGTTTGTGTGTTTGCGTGTTTGCGTGTTTGTGTGTTTGAGTGTTTGTGTGTTTGTGTGTTTGTGCGTTTGTGTGTTTGTGCGTTTGTGTGTTTGTGTGTTTGTGTGTTTGTGTGTTTGTGTGTTTGTGTGTTTGTGTGTTTGTGTGCTTGCGTGTTTGCGTGTTTGTGTGTTTGTGTGTTTGTGTGTTTGTGTGTTTGTGTGTTTGTGTGTTTGTGTGTTTGTGTGTGTGTGTGCGCGCGTGTGTGCGTGTTTGCGTGCGTGCGTGCGTGCGTGCGTGGGTGGGTGGGTGGGTGGGTGGGTGGGTGCGTGGGTGGGTGGGTGGGTGGGTGGGTGGGTGGGTGGGTGTGTATTCTTGGGTCAGTTATTCTTACACTTTTTTTTTGGTCGGCTTTTTGAGCCGATCTCAAGAGGTTGATCTGGCGCTGGCCACAAAGAAGTATCAGCGCAGCTCCGCCGGGAAGTCCTTCCTTCCCGAGGAGGTGCGCACCCCCGACGCTTGCCTCGGGACCATGCGCTTCCTCGTCCAGGTGCTAGACCTAAACCAAGCGGGACAAGCGGGAAAACAGCACGCCTGGGATGAGGGCTTTGGTGCCGGTTTCGCGGTGCGTCCCAGTTTCCAGCACATCTACAGCTATCTCCACGATCGCTGCCGCGCGGTGCGCGTGGATCTGCATCTGCAGCAGCCCTGGAGTGCCACAGCCGAAGCCTTTGTGGAGTGCCACGAGTACTGCCTCCGCTTCGAGCTCCTGGCGCGGTTCCTCTTTAGCGACGTGGGCCGGGCATGGCGCGGCGTCAAAGAGGAGGAGCTCTACGACGAGCATTTGGGCCTGCAGGCGGTGTCCCAGACTGTCGATCCCTTGTTGGCTGCCTACCAAGATGCCAGGCAGGGGTTGGGCGAATGTTTGTTTGTACACCCTGACACAGGCCTTCAGAGGGAAACCAACCAGAGTTTTGTTCAATGGTAATATTATAGCATTGCCAAGTGCAAACCAAGTGGCACCACGCGCCCCAACCCAGGCAGAGGATGGCGCCGTTCGAGAACGAGCCTGCCATGCAGCGCCTGGTACTGCTACTCCTGCTGGCTACCACGCCCGAAGTTTTGCCAGCTCACTTGGCGGGCTTGGACCGGGAACTCCTGGGTCACCCCGTGGTGTTTGCGGCCGTCCAAGCCTGCTGCGCCTTGGCGGCAGGGCATGGAACTACTCGGGCGGAACTCTGGGACGAGATCCCCGTCGCTTTCTTGGGTTTGGTCCCAAAAAGCGCAGTGTGAAGATCTGAGGTGACTTCCTATCGGGCCAGTATGCCAACTTTTTGCGTTTCGTCCGCGACTGCGATCTGCTGTCCGCTTGTGCCGTGGCAGACCTTGCGGACCTGGCGAGGCTGCGCTTGCTGTGGCTTCGTACCCGCACTTACCCGAAGGCCCGGCCTAGCGACTGCAGCTCGACCCTTGGACTTCCTTGTCTCGAAGTTGCGTCTTTTGCCATTTGCTTGTATTGTTTCCCTCCATTCCGTGTTGGTTCACGCAGTTAGGTACAAAATCGAAGGGCTTATGCAGAAAGGGACTTCCGTGGGAGAAAGGGCACCTTGCTGATACTTGTCTGAAAGAGATCCCCCCTCCAAGAAACAGTTGGAGACACTGCCATTATCAAAGTCACACCCCCAAGTGGTCCAAGTGATAGTTTTAAGAAGAATGAGACCAGTCCCCAGTATCGACAAACCCTGGAGCAGTCAACATGTTGGGTTCATTGAAAGGCCCCTGATTTTGCTAGGTTCTCTTGAAAGAAAAATCTGGGTTTCGCCAAAATAGATGAAACTCAGGTTCATTTGTTCGTTTTTTTTGCTCGAAGCTGGGGGGTGGTTGATTCAGCGAAACCAACAAGGAGCCGAGGCCCATTCTGGGAGGTCCACATTTGGGTTTGTCTTTCTTGAGGGTACCCCCTTTCGGTTGGTTTTAAAGGAACTCAAAAGGAAAGCCACCATTTTGGGAGTCCCCCAAAGAAAGACACCCATTTCTGACGTAACTAACTGTGGGAAGCCAAGCTCAGTTGGGTTCACTCCAGGCTGTGGGCGACCGCTTGCCTCTGGAGCCGTTGGCGCAGCTTTTGGCCACTGACGCCCAGCGGCTCAGGTCCTTCCTGGACTTCCACGGGCTGGCAGTGGAGGAGGGCCACGAGCCCCAGGCTGGGTGTGGGATGCTTGGAGTTGGATTCGAACCTCGCGGTTTCCTGTGGTTTCCCATAATTTCCTCTATCAAAAAGTGTTCCTCAAGTCTCTGTGCCGCAGGTGCTGCTGCCCAAAGGCGAGCCCCCTTTGGCGCCGGGGATGCCAGAGCGCTGCCGCTTCTCCGGCGCCGACGCCGCGCTGGCGGCGAAGTGGGGCACTCTGAGCCGCGGGGACGTGGTGCGGGGCCTCGCAGACCCGTGAGGGGCCCAATGCCCCGCGTGGCGGGCGTGGCGCGGAGGTCGGTCCGTTGCGTGCCAGTCTTTGACGTGGCCAGTTCTGAGCAATGAATGCCACCCAAGGAATTCATCGACTCAGAATGGCAGGATAACCCAATAGTGCCTTCACTCGGACTTGCCTCAAAATGGCTGCGCTCAGAATAGCCGCGTAGGCAATTCATGTCGCGTGGGAAGAGCTAAAGCAGTTTTCATCTGGGTTTAGGCCACAGTGCCCACAGTGCATGACCTTTCGGAGGAGCGGACCAAGCGCATCGCCAGCCCCAAGTTTCTGCAAGCAGATGTCCAGCCGCTGCATGGCTGCAAACCCCGGCATTGTTTGGCAGGACATGCATTCCAGCCAAGTTTGTGAGCCTTGTTGTAGCCCGTGGCTGTTGTCTCAGGAGGGATTGGAGGCACATTCGAATCCCCTGGCAAGACAACTGGGCGGACTCGGTGACTGGCATCCTGTCAAAGCAGGGCTTGTCCTCTGCCGCTTTGGCTACATCAGGGGGGAAGCATGCAGAAGCTTCATGCTTTGCTTGTGCAGATGAGCCATTCAGTAAAGGCTGTTGCCAGCTAGGAGATAATGTAACCACTCCGCGAAAGATATTCGCGGCAGATGGGCACGTCTGAGGCGCAGGAGGGCGACCGCTTCGAAGTGCTAAACTGCCAGGGCGTGCCTTTCTCCTTCAAGGCGCGCCGTGGCAAAGGGCCTTTGTACCAAGAGAAAACAGTGACTGGCAAATTGAAGCCAAATGGCAGCTTTGCGACTGCCAGCGGCTTTTGTCATCTTTCGCCCTTAGAGGCTCGGGTGGCCATAGTGGATGCTCGCCGTTTGTGGCTCTTGACAAACGTTTGGAAGCGCTTGCCAGGACAGACGCCTTCAATCCAGCACTGGCCGTCGACCCATAGTGCAAGCAGATTTTCCGATGCTGCTCAACATCAAGGCAAGTAGACCTTCCATGCACCCGCTTGTGTGACACAAGTACTGTATTGCTTCAAGGGCATCCATCGATTCAGGTGTCCTTCTCTTTTTTTCTTGTGCTTTTCTGCTTCTCTGGAACGGCATAGACCAACAGACTGGGGATGGACCAACTGGACCAATGAGAATGAGGATTGTCTTCTTGTGATCGTATCCCTTTCCAGGCGTTTTGCAAGGAAGCCCAAAGACCACCCGTTTTGAAAGGGGTACTTTTAAGAAAGACAGGTTCTCATAGCTTTCAAGGGGAGGTACGGATCTGATGTCCGAGGTATGAGAACTTGCCGACATTTGAAGCTTTGAAGCTTGGAAAGGAGACGTTGGGAGACGTTGGGAGACGTCAGGAGTGGAAGCTCTCGGAGCTGCTGAAGTCCCTGCGTCATCCCGAGAAGGAACAGCGCCAGGCCCAGGCGAACGGAAGCTGGGAAGCGGACGCCTGGATGGGGGGTGGGATAAGGAGCTGGTGCACCAGGACCACGCTCTGTGTTTGCATTGATTTGTCAGAATTGTCAATAGGTGAACCCGGGTGTCGTGTGGCTCCATTTGGATGTATCTTAAAATGCCCTGGGTTTCGTGAATACCGTTGATGAACATCACCCTGTTGTGGTGCCTTTCCTTACTTCAAGGCCAGCAGGGGACCAAGTGTTGGATACGTGCAGGTAGCGATTCAGAAGCAGATCGAGATGCTGAAGCGTGGCCGACCAGGCCCACAGCATCGCCCGCTGCAAGGGGATTTATAACCTGTTTTTGCCGAAAGTTTTCACCAGTTTTTGGCCACGCCTGGTGGCAGGCAAGCTGATGGAGCCTCAGGAGCGCATGAAGCTGGAGCGCCTGCGCCAGGAGGAGGCCAACCTCAAGGCACACCTTGGGTGTCTTAGGGGTACGGTGTACATACTCCGTCCTCCACCAGCCTTGGAAGTATTGGAGTTTTGAAGGCGGTTTGTGAAATCACGGGCACCCTTGGTTTGGGCTAAAAGGGCAACTGAAGGGACTACTTGAGGGTTGCCACTGTTTGGGACAATCATACGGCATGGACATGTGTGGATCGGTTGCTTCTGAGGAGCATGTCAATGTTTGTGTTGGGTGACCCCAATGAAAGACGGATGGCAGCTGCGAGTTGAGCGTTGTGTTTGCAAATAAGGCAACAGCGTACAGAGCTTTTTGCTCGCGCCGGAATGAATTTGTTGGGTCATGGCCGTGGTGAAGCCACTGGGCCAGGCCAAGTGCGAGGATGCCAAGGCAAAACTGTTCTGGAGGTTGGAGACAAGGGCCGCCACCCTGCTCCAGGTGCGGTTGCAAGTTTTCGCATTCGAAAGGGGTTGCTTAAATCAGCCAGCTGGAAACCAGCTTCCGCTTCTTTGAGTTTGTTCCAGAAAATCTATTGGCCGTGGAAAAAAATAGGTCGGGTAAATGGAAACAGGGACTAGAATCTGCGGTCCCTGGTGTTTTGATTTTGACCCATAGCATCCATAGCCTTCGATTCCCTTTGTTTCCCTTTGTTTCCCTGTTTGTTCCCTTGCGCGCGGCGAGGCTATGGCGCGGGGCCTGCGCATCCGCGTGCAGGAGCGCCTGCGCCTGAAGGCCGCGCAGGCGTGGCAATTTGGGTCGCCGACGAGGCTAGCCCGGGTTGTTTTGTTGTTTCGTTTTGGTTTGTTTAATTGGTTTCAATTGGGGTTTTGTTTGGTTAGACTTGCTTTTGCTGGCGAGTTCGTGTTTATATATGTTCCACTTGGCTGTCTCCATTTGACGTGCTTTTGTTTGGTTTGGCAAGTTTGTTTGCTAGTTTGCTGTTTTGTTGGGTGGTTTTGGGCTTGGTTTGGTTTATTTATTTCGGTTAGTTTTATTTGATTTGTTTAGTTTCAATAGTTTCGTTTTGCTTTTGCAGTTTGTTTGTTTTGTGTTGTGTTGTGCTGTTTTCTTTTCTTTTGTTTGTTTGTTTGTTTCGTTCGTTCGTTCGTTTGTTTGGAGGACTTTGTTTGTCCTCAGCCAGCAGCTGCTTCGGGATTGCACAGACAGGGCTGTGGGCAACTTTGGACTGGTGCCTCATCCGTGTGCTTCGCAGTGATTTGCATGATCAAGGTATTTGTTTTTGGCAAGTTTCTGAATTCGATGCTGCTCGGATCAGGCGATTCAGCGAGGATGGAGAGGACCTGTGCATTGCTCCTTGCTTCGTTTCCGGCTGTCATGCCAGATGTTACTACTGGGCATTGCGTGCCTTTCAATAACATGATTGCCCCTGTCAGAGGCGCTTGATGCAAGAGGGGCGCCTCACGCATGGCCCATTTGGAGCTGGCAGGATACATCAGCCGCTTGCGCGTGGAACACCTCAAGGAACTGACCAAGCTGCGACTCAAGCAAGTGAAGCATGTGCCTTGCCGGCCTTGGGAGCAGAAGGGCAGGTCTTAGACGTACTGCACTAGGAACATCTGATGCTTGGGTCCCGCATGTGGGCTATTCCACTTCGCCTTCTGGTCGTTTTCAATTGATTTGGGCTGCCCCATGTCTTTGAGAAACAGGGGGAGCATCCCAAATCTCTTCAAATCAACTGCAGCAACATGGAACGCTTGGCTTTGAGTGAACCCCAAGACTGCGCTGAGGTCCGCAATGCAGAGTCCCTCTTCGAGGCGGTCCACCACCAGCAGGCCGAATCCTTGAATGCCAGAATGGCTGGGATTCATGTCTCTTGGGTCCTTTGCTCTCAGAGAAGGAGGGGCTTTTATGCTACACATGCCACACTATGTTGTGATACACTCTTATTCTTATTCTGTATGTGCCACAAAAGCTCCAGGTGAGGTTTCGCAAGGTTGAAGCTGGTCCGCAGGTTTTAGCTTCCAGATTCAGTCTTGTACTTGTCTTCGAAGCCTTACTGGTAGGAGGCAGTGGCCATTCGAGTGATCCGCGACAAAGACTTCAACCCCTTCAGCTTTCGTCACGCCGTGGCTTGGCACACACGAGTCTCGAGGCCAATGCAAGAGCGTTCTAGCTCTGAGTCCAGAGGCTCAGGCCTCCCCTTGAACATTTTGCAGGGGTTTGGGAAGACCTCTTGAGCAGCCCACTGACCCCGACCCTGAACCCTTCAAGGCCAAGTCTCGGGCCAAGCGGCCCAGCGAGCTCAGGTCTCGCAGCAGTCGCTGCTGCACGCGGCGGCGCAGGAGGGCCTGGCCGCGCTCTGCGGGGAGCTGCTGAAGGCGGCGAAGCTGCGAGGCTGGGGACGAGCCAATCACTAAGGAACACCCTTGGATGGGCATACATCCAACAAAGTTAATGGGTTCCCAAGTCAAGTTCATATTGAATTGTTTTAGCCTGGTTTCGTCGGATGTTTGGGTTTATGCTTTCATGTCTTCTCCTGTGCATGTGTTCGTATCGGCGCAGGTATGGAGGGCTTTGCCTCAGCCCGGGACTGGCGTGGCTGGACAGCACTGCACACTGCAGCTCTGAGCGACCAGGCGAATGGAACCAACTTGGCTGCTCTTTGGCTTTTCGCGCTTCAACCTTTGGAGGCATACAGTTTGCCCACTTACTTTCTTTGCAGCTGAGCAATCCAGCCAAGCTCGCACCTCGAAGTTCATGTCATGTTTGGATCTTTTGTGCCATTGTAGGGAAACCATTCACTAGCTTGGATTCAACGGGCTTCGCAGCTTGAACTTTGCATATCGGCTTAAGCGTCTTTGCGTCTTTGAGCTTTCCCCACCTTCGCAACTCTCGGAGGCGGCGTGTTGCAGGGAGCTGCTGGTGGCGGAGGAGCTGTCGCATCCGCCAGGTGGGTTGAAATCGGTCCAATAGGATTGAGCTACAAGGAATGCGTTTTCGGCCCACCACCAGTTACTTTACTTGGTTTTGAGTAAGCCAATTTAAAGTGCCAGGCTTCGATTTGGACCCATGATGAGTGCACACTCCCATACTTTTGATTTGCTTTGAGCTTTCTCATGCGCTCCAGGCCTCAGAGTTGTAGCTGGCCTATGAAGAATGGACAGGAAATAACCAACTTGGCGGGAAATGCCGAAATGCAGGTTTTTGAGCAGGGCTCTCCATTCACATGTTGCTTTGCTGTGCTGTTCTTGTTCAGCTGCCAGGTTGCTTGGGACGCAATAACCAGACAGCGCTGCACGTGGCAGCGCTGCAAGGGCACACGGAGGTGGCTAAGGCTTCAGTGCCGTTTGAGTGTATGTTGTCAATCATACAACCATGTTTTGCAAGTGGAAGTCGCAGCCATGCTTAGGAAAGATCACTGAAATCAACATTATCTTTATTTAATCAGCCATATCAGCCCTAAAACTGCTGGAGATTGCTGACATGGTGAGGGCCTCTTTAGCAAGCGGTTCACGCAGCAGAACATCTTTTGCGATTCAACAGCACGAAAAAAGGAAAAACAACACACAACCAAACTGTGCTGGAAGATATGGGGTCAGGTTTCTAATTTTCGAGTTGTCACTGGCAGTGTGTACCTGACCAAAATCAGAAGCGCTGCAGCTCAGAACAGCTCGAGATACAAGTTGCAAGAATGACAAGCTCATGCCTTGTAGGTTTTGCTGAATACGCAGAGCTTCGAGGATGCTGTGGACTTGCGCGACAGGCAAGGCTTCAAAATCTCCGTAGCGTGACACGGCTTGCGGCAGCACAACATAGCCTGGCAAGTTTTGACATGTTATATACCTCCTCTACTTATTGGTCTGGGATCAAGAGCCCAATGTGCCCACATTCGGACAACCCCAACCAAGAGCCTGCCAAATGGCACCGCCCTTCGGTAGCCGCTCTGTGCCTCGGATGCTGGAGGTGGGGCCGCACTGCTTTGCACTGTGCTGCGGAGCAGGGGAACGCCACTGCCATCAAGATCGCGGAGCGGGGAGAGGGCTTGTGATTGCGACCGACGAAGCCTGCGGCAATGGCTCGTGTTGTTTACAACTTGACATTATCCCAACTCTTTCCAAACTCTTTCCGGTTTGTGAAAGAGCTCCTTTTGTCCAATTTGCCTAAGGGCCAAGAGCTATGGCCACCTCGCTTTCGGAGGAGCACGTCGCCTTCCAAAGCTTCGAGGCTAAAAATGCCTGGGGCGCCACCGCGGCGCAGTTGGCGCCCGAGGAGCTGCGAAGGGCTTTGCAGGACGCCTGCAAGAGGCACCTGCGAGGGGAGCGAAGCGAGTTGGTCAGAAAGAGATTGGGACACTTCGCTTGGGTTCAGAATGAAGCACATTTCCAACTTGAATGGTGCAATTTTGGGTGAGACATTTATGACCCCTGCCATTTCACATGAGCCACAATCAAAACCCGGTAGATGAAGGTTAGCAAGGGACAATCCCAACGAAAAATGGCTGCAGCCGCCTTCTTATTCTTCGCATGGTTCTGGGTACCATTTTAATATCGGGTTTGATTATGACTCACATGTGGTTAGAGCTGGGGTGGAAAGCGCCAGGCGCCTGCAGCGACTGGAGGGCTCTCGCAGGAAGAGGAGGCCCGGACAGGGCCTGAGGATGCCACGCCCTCTTTTGGACGAATCAATTTATGCCACTCATCTCCCTTTTGACTCTCCTGACTGTTTACAAAAACATCCATGAGGCTTGCATTGTCACTTCAAGAAGCTGTGATTATGCTCTCTTCAAATATGTTTGAGGTGCGTGAGGCAGTGCATCTGCAGGAGATGACCAAGCCCAGCGCACTGTAAATCTGGTTTTGAGGGTCAATCACCTGCCGACGCAGGGTCTGTACCTACGTTCCGGGAGATGATGATGATGAGCCAGAGGCTGATTCAAGTGCTTCTAGGGTTCTCTCCCCTTGGGATCAATCCGCTTGGCTTATTTGCCTGGACATTCGGTGGTCTTGGTTATCAAAAGCTTGCGTGTGTTTTGGGGGGAGGCTCAATGCACACCAAGGGGCTTCACGGGTGAGGAGGTCTGACTGGCCTCAATGCTCGCGTCGCTTGCAGCTGGCCAGGCACAGGCATCACGGCCTGTGGAGCGGGGGCCTGCAGAGCGAGGAATTGGGGATGCCGACAGGCAGGTATTCTGCCACTGTTTCCCGCGATCTTGTGTTAGTGAGTTGAGTGCCACGATTGGGGTGAGGGAATAGTATTTGTGAGCCATGGGAGCATTGTTTGGTCTGTGTCGACTCGATTCGGCCGCTAGTCAGACTGAGGTCGCAAGCGAGCCAGAAATCCAGCCTTCCTGCAGCAGCAATGCCACTCGTCAAGGTTCAAGTCAAGCTTATTGAAGGTTGCCTGGTTGCTTATTCAGCGTTACACATTCTGTTTCTTGGCTGCGGTGGGCACCGCATGCCGACTGAGGGCCAAAGATGTCAAAGAAACGCATGCCAAGCCCGAGGTGGGCGAAGACTGGGCTTGAAACCGATGAAAGAGTCCCTTTCTCCTCTGGTCGAATTGACCCTACAGCAATGTATGACTCCAGCGGCAGCCACGTTGCAATCTGTTGGCAATCCAGGCAATCCGACAGGGTCCAAACCGCCCGATGCATGCCCCGGAGGACAATGCCTCGGGGCGCGAGGCCGCACGAGGCGGGGAGACATGGGAGGGGTGGCTGTGGATAGCTTGTTTGCAGCGCAGACCGCAGCCGAATCCTTGGCTGTCAGCCAGCCCAGTGCCAGGTCGGTCGCGCGCAAAGACCAACGGCACACTGCCGGGCGCATTCTCCCCACCAAGCCGGTGAAACTTGGTAGGTCGGTTCGCTTTTTCACGAGCCACTCACGTCGCTAATGCCTTGCCTCTCCAAAGTGAGACGCCGCATGCTTGGGTGGTCTGACCAAGTTGCTGCTCAGCTGCCGGGGACACTGGGACTGCACCACTTGTAACACGCCGAGCTGAGGGGTAGCTTGGTTGTTCCCCAAGCTGTTGTTACAGCTGAGTCTGCCATCCGACGGCTTGGCACAGAAGGCACGCTTCAAGAGCGGCTTTCATCGAAAAATCACTACATCTCACGGCCGTCATTCTGCAGTTTGATTGGCGCCGGCGCATGGCACCGGCACGGCCTCAGACGGACCCTGACATTGGCCTTGCATTGCCTTGCATTGCCTTGCATTGCCTTGCATTGCCTTGCATCAATTGATCGGCTGCAGGTGTGCAGGCTCCATGCTGCTGCGATATGTTGGGATTAGCCCGCCCCCACTCGCTTGGCAGTTGCCTTCCCCCCCCCTCTCCCAGGAGATGCCAGATGTTCGAACCAATAGACAGCTCCTGTTGGCAGGGGCCAGCTAAGTTCCCAGCAAGCCGTGAAGTTCTGACTGCTTTTCGTGGCACCGCACCTGGCGGTTGGGATATCCCGCTCCCGTCATGGCGCGTGCTGAGCTGTTGGAAGCTGCCTCAGACTTGTTCAATTTGCTACGCAGAGCTACTGGTATACTGGTAGTGCCTCGCGGAAAGCACCGCAGGTTCTCATGGTGGCAGAAAAGCCCTCCATCGCTGCAACACTTGCCCAGGCAGGTTTTCAAACTAGACAAGCTGGCTTCTTTCGAACTGTCGGCGCAAGTGACTTAGGCCTTCCAAGCACCGAACTGCCTTCCAATCACCGCCCTGCCCTGCAGGCGCTGGGGCCTCCGAATGCTACGAAGCGGCGGGGCATGTCGCCCTCGTCACCGGTCGGGGCTCCCAGATCAACGAAAGATGCTTCCCAGCTTCTTGCATCTATGTACGTAGCTTAGGAGCACGCAGCATTGTGTCAGTGTTGGGATTCATCGCAATCTCAAAAGCTTTTTCGTGCACAAAAAAACTGATCCCTCGTCAAGTTGTGCCATACTTGTGCCCGTCCGTTCTTGAAGGCCCCCAAAACGTTGCATCGAGCTCCTTGTGCCAACTCTCGGAACAGCCCCTTGTTTCGTCACTGGCTTTGAGCCACATACGATATGTCACTGCACTGGTGAGCTCAAGGATGAGATGTCCGGCTCTGAACAAAAAACCAGTCCCGCTGAGAAGCAGCTGTTGTGGTTGATATGGAAGTGGGGGATCTCCAATACGAATTGGCGCGACGCCAATTTCCAGAAGCTTGCTCATGGCATTGTTGTAGACTCGGTTTTGAATGAATACTAGCTGCACTTCCACATGAGCAAGAGGCTAAACTCTCCCATCTAGAGATATGTCTTCGGTGATTTGGCGAACCCCCAAAGACAGTCTTAGGTTTGCCACTCGCTCACGTCCATGTCCCAGCCATTTTAAGTTTTCCTCTCTGCATTTACTCTTGAGGCCGAAACGGGCTCCACGTTGGAACCATATTGGGCCCAAGTAGTCTTTTTTTGGCCGGGGGCCCCCGTTTGCTTGTTCAACCCTGAGTGTCAGGTCCACGAGTACTCCGGGGCCTTCCTTGGCCCGTGCCTCGAAATGGAGTCACGGTTAAATGGACCTGGGATGCGAACGGAATCCGCTGGAGTCTTCGAACCGCAGAAGTTTTCGTGTTCAAAATTCATGGTTTTCTTGGCAGCAAGGTCAACCAGCCAGGCCCGGACTGGGCGGCTTGACAGCTACACAGCTTGGCCAATAGCAGGACACGCCTGAAAAGGTTCTATGCCGGAACCACAATCGTCCTCCGGTCACAACTTAAAGCGCGGCAGGTTTAGAGTCACCGCGACGACCGGCCACGTGTACTCGCTGGACTTCAGCCAGGTGACTTGAAGGCTTTAGAACTTGGGCTTGAGAAGAAGCTGCCGATTGAGTTTGAATTCAGATCGATTCGTGATCTGCTGGGCTTTCATGCTGGGTGGCAGGAGTACAACAACTGGGACAAATTTAGTAGTGCGCCCAGAGCGGGGCGAGAGAAGATTTGACGAGTTTTGTTGGCTAGGCTAAGCTCGGCAAAGCATTCTGTACTTGACACAGAGAGGCAGTTGAAGCAGTCGTTGGCCTTCTGGGGGAGCAACTCGCACTGGGAAGACGACTGGCCAAAGGCCCGGACGAACTCTTCACTGCCAAGATCGTCCGCACCTACGACCCCCGCTCCAACATCCCCGCGCGGGCCACTCGGAAGGGGGCATACAAATCCATCCGACAGAACACACTGTGACACCCAGACCGTTCTCGAACTCTTTTGTTTGAAGTACCTAGAATTTCTTTTCGCGCCAGTGCCAGGCATATCACCGAGGAAGCAAGGAACTGTGACTTACTAGTCCTTTGGTTGGACTGTGACCGTGGGAGCCTCAGTTGCCTTGTTTGTGCACATCGTGCGCTCCATTCCTATGGTTGATTTGAATTCGGGTAGCTTTGGGGCAGGCGAGGGCGAGAACATTTGCTTCGAGGTCATGGAGTTGGCTTTGCCTCAGATGACGCTTTGCTGCAGATTGCACTTGCACGCATTTGCGCCTTCTTGGATACGCACTCGAGACCATTCGAGTGCAGGTAGGCAACCAGACTCGTTTGACACCGTTTGAAGCTGTGCCACAAAGATTTTTGGGTCAAGTAGGTGCAGACTAATCTCAGCCTGTCAGGAAGGAGCCACGCGCAGGTGTGGCTGCCTAAGTGCCAAAACATTGCAGGGCATCCCGCGTCTAGTGGACTTACACTGTCGACCCAAAGTGGCGTGCGCGGGGCCAGTGCATGCGCACGCAGGCACGCACAGGCACGCACGCACACACACAGACACACACACACACAGACACAGACACACACACACACAGACACACACAGACACACACAGACACAGACACACACAGACACACAGAGACACACACACACACACATACACAGACACACACAGACACACACACAGACACACACACACACAGACACACAGAGACACACACACACACACACACACACAGACATACACAGACACACAGACACACAGACACACACACACACAGACACACAGACACACACACAGACACACAGAGACACACACAAACACACACACACACAGAGACACACAGACACAGACACAGACACAGACACAGACACAGACACAGACACAGACACAGACACAGACACAGACACAGACACAGACACAGACACAGACACAGACACAGACACAGACACAGACACAGACACAGACACAGACACAGACACAGACACAGACACAGACACAGACAGACACAGACACAGACACAGACACAGACACAGACACAGACACAGACACAGACACAGACACAGACACACCACACCACACACACACCCACACACCACACACCACACACACACACCCACACCCACGCACACGCACGCACGCACGACGCCCACGCACGCAACGCACGCGCGCGCGCAGGCGCACGCGCACGCGCACGCACGCACGCACACGCGCACGCGCACGCGCACGCGCACGCGCACGCGCACGCGCACGCGCACGCGCACACGCGCACGCGCACGCACACGCGCACGCACACGCACACGCACACGCACACACGCGCACACACACACACACGCACGCAGACTCGCACGTAGACACACACACAGACACACGCAGACACACACACAAACAGGCACGCACACAGGCACACACAGACACACACACACAGACACACACACAGGCACACAGACACACACACAGACACACACACACAGACACACACACACAGACACACACACACAGCCAGACACACAGACACGCACACACACAGACACAGACACAGAAGCAGACACAGACACAGACACAGACACAGACGCAGACACAGACACAGACACAGACACAGACACAGACACAGACACAGACACACCCCCACCCCCACCCACCCACCCACCCACCCACGCACGCACGCACGCATGCACGCGCGCACGCACGCACGCACACGCACGCGCGCACGCGCACGCGCACGCGCACGCCCACGCGCACGCGCATGCGCACGCGCACGCGCACGCGCACGCGCGCGCGCGCACGCACGCACGCACGCACGCACGCACGCACGCACGCGCGCACGCACATACGCACGTACGCATTCACGCACGCACGCACGCACCCACACGCACCCACACGCACCCACACGCACCCACACGCACCCACACGCACGCACGCACCCACACACACGCACGCAGGCACGCGTGCACGCACGCACACACACACACACACACGCAGACACACGCACACACACACACACAGACACACACACAGACACACGGAGACACACACACACACACAAACACACACAGAGACACACAGACACACCCACACACACAGCGACACACACACAGACAGACACACACACACACAGACACACACACACAGACACACACACACACAGACACACACACACACAGACACACACACAGACACAGGCAGACACACACACACAGACACACACACACAGACACACGCACACACAGACACAAACACACAGACACACACACACACACCGACACTCACACACACGCTCACACACAGACACACACACAGACACACACACAGACACACACACACACAGCAACACACACACACACACACACACCGACGCACACACAGACACACACACACACACCCACCCACCCACGCACGCACGCACGCACGCACGCCCGCACGAACGCACGCACGCACGCACGCAAGCGCGCGCCCCCACGCCCACACGCGCACCCGCGCGCCCGCGCGCCCCCACGCCCACACGCGCACACGCGCACACGCGCACACGCGCACACGCGCACGCGCGCACGTGCACAGGCGCACGCGCACACGCGCACACGCGCACGTGCACACGCACATGCGCACACGCGCACACGCACACGCGCACACGCCCACGCGCACACGCACACGCACACGCGCACGCGCACGCGCACGCGCACGCGCACGCGCACGCGCACGCGCACGCGCACGCGCATGCGCACGCGCGCACGCACACGCACACGCACACGCGCACGCACACGCACACGCACACGCACACGCACACGCACACACGCGCACACACACACACGCACGCAGACTCGCACGTAGACACACACACAGACACACGCAGACACACACACACACACACAAACAGGCACGCACACAGGCACACACAGACACACACACAGACACACACACAGGCACACAGACACACACACAGACACACACACACACAGACACACACACAGA